TGCTCTGGAAGCTCAGTAATTTTAACATTAGCTCAAGAGTTTTAACATATTCACAATTTGATGTGCAATGACACAGTTACTAAAATATTTGTGTGTGTGTGTTAAAGACTCACGCTGGTGGCTGACAATGCAATGTGCAGCCAGCAGTTTCAGCTGCGGTACTTCAAACAGAGCCGTGTTGAACAGCAGCTCTCGGGCCATGGGCCTCGCGCTGGGATCACACTCTAGGCACTTTTGGATTAACTCCTACAAAAACAAATAGCTCTGTCACCCTTTTCACAGAACAAAAAGGATAACTGCTGAAAGCTTAATCTGGTACGGTCTTAACAAAACTCATGAACATGCACATACTCGCGCCCTTTATCTCACCCTCTGCAGCGGGTCCTCCAGCAACTGTATGGCACTGTTAATGGCCTCCTGAGAAACGTAAGAGGACTCTCCATTACCCTGGATCTCCAAGAGCGCCATCTGTGACACACCCACACACGTTAACATACTGCTTGGGAAAGGCCTCAGGCCATTCTATCACGTATTATGGGTCCCATCTCACCTCTAAGGCACACATGCCAAACGAGTAGATGTCTACAGCTGTGGTGACATCATCAACAGCTACAATGAGAGCAAGAATGGAAAGAAAACAAAGACACATATCATACCTTAGCACTTACTTAAAACCTAGACCTAGTTCATTCATTTTCTACCGCTTAGTCCCTGAACAGGGTCACGGGGGGGGGGGGGGGGGGGGGGGGGGCACCCCCGGGTGAAGGCGTGGTCCACCCTGGACAGGTCGCCAATCCATCGCAGGGCTAACACATAGACGAACAACCACACACACGCACACACATTCACTCCTATGGGGAATTTAGAGACACCAGTCAACCTAAGCTGCATGTCTTTGGACTGTGGGAGGAAGCCGGAGTACCTGGAGAGAACCCACGCAAGCACGGAGAGAACATGCAAACTCCACACAGAAAGGTCCCAGGTGGGGCCCGAACCCAGAACCTTCTCGCTGTGAGGCAATGGTTCTTATACCAAAATGCCACTTTGACAGCATGGCTGATGAGTGAATAATAAAGATGCTCATAAACAGGTTCTAGGGGGCTTCTCTGTGTTTAGACTACAGTCTCAATGCAACCAAATGGGCTGTGCATTGTCATTAATTTCCTTTTTACTACCAACCAAAGTGTGTCTGTATAATGCAGTAAAATTCAACACTCGCAAAAAATTACATCCTTCAAAATGATCATACAAAAACTGAACATGATCGACCACATAAAGGGAAAATTTACTGCAGAACAGTTGGATTAGACTGCATTAATTTTACTACATGTACCTAATAAACTGCCAGCTGGGTGTGTTTTAAATGGCTAAAGTCCCTATTCCTAAAAACAGCAGTATGTTGTAACATATTTTCCAGTAAATCTGAGTCACCTGCCAGGAAACTGTCGATATCAGCATCTACAGAAATAACTGCAAAGTCTGACTTTGGTCATATTTACCTCCATATTCTGGGGCAAAAAAGTGCAAGTTCTTCTGTTCCTCATGACAAGTCTTCACATGGTTGTTAATGGTGTCTGGAGCAACTGCAGATGAGAGAATATGGGTGATGTACAGAAGGAGGATAGAGAATAGTGACGGAGGTCAGTATGAGGAACAAGAGACAGGAAAAAAGAGGGAATGCCAGTGTTACATTTACACTGCATAAACCATCATGAGATGTATGAAAGCTGTCCTTTACCAGACAGGGAGTGCAAGTGATAGATCAAAATGCAGAAAGACTGCAGTGGCTGGACTTTGGTCACTGCAGGTATATGTAAACTCACAACCGAACCTTTCTATACCACACCACTTTTTTCACATCTTACTGAATGTGCAGGGTTTCCTTGTTACAAGAAAAAAAGCATACTGCCACTGTTTTTGTCAGAAGCTTTAAATGTCCAGTTAAAGTGCAAATCAGACTGTTACTTTTGTACATACAACACTGGAACTGTGGAATCATGAAAATGGATCATACTATTATGGTAACTTTCCTGTTTTCAAATCCATAATTCAGTATCACTCGACTCCATCAAGGTGCTCCAGCTCCACTACCAAACACAGTGGGATGAAGCCAGGGTAACTGTATACCTGATCCGATCTTGATGAGCCCGTTGTGCTGAATGAAGATGGTGTCACAGGTCAGGTTGCCATGGATGATGGGCGGGTCACATGAGTGCAGGTAACTACATGATAGGAACAAAAACAACATTTGCAAGTAGATACAAAGCATGTAAGAAACGGTCTTGATTATTTTCCATGTATGTCCGTTTCCCTGTGAGAGAATATAATGACTTTAACATAATGTCTGAAAAAGGGAAACCAACCTGAGAGCAGACAGGATCTGTGTGCACCATCTCTTCGGGGCTTCTCTGTGTTTAGACTACAGTCTCAATGCAACCAAATGGGCTGTGCATTGTCATTAATTTCCTTTTTACTACCAACCAAAGTGTGTCTGTATAATGCAGTAAAATTCAACACTCGCAAAAAATTACATCCTTCAAAATGATCATACAAAAACTGAACATGATCGACCACATAAAGGGAAAATTTACTGCAGAACAGTTGGATTAGACTGCATTAATTTTACTACATGTACCTAATAAACTGCCAGCTGGGTGTGTTTTAAATGGCTAAAGTCCCTATTCCTAAAAACAGCAGTATGTTGTAACATATTTTCCAGTAAATCTGAGTCACCTGCCAGGAAACTGTCGATATCAGCATCTACAGAAATAACTGCAAAGTCTGACTTTGGTCATATTTACCTCCATATTCTGGGGCAAAAAAGTGCAAGTTCTTCTGTTCCTCATGACAAGTCTTCACATGGTTGTTAATGGTGTCTGGAGCAACTGCAGATGAGAGAATATGGGTGATGTACAGAAGGAGGATAGAGAATAGTGACGGAGGTCAGTATGAGGAACAAGAGACAGGAAAAAAGAGGGAATGCCAGTGTTACATTTACACTGCATAAACCATCATGAGATGTATGAAAGCTGTCCTTTACCAGACAGGGAGTGCAAGTGATAGATCAAAATGCAGAAAGACTGCAGTGGCTGGACTTTGGTCACTGCAGGTATATGTAAACTCACAACCGAACCTTTCTATACCACACCACTTTTTTCACATCTTACTGAATGTGCAGGGTTTCCTTGTTACAAGAAAAAAAGCATACTGCCACTGTTTTTGTCAGAAGCTTTAAATGTCCAGTTAAAGTGCAAATCAGACTGTTACTTTTGTACATACAACACTGGAACTGTGGAATCATGAAAATGGATCATACTATTATGGTAACTTTCCTGTTTTCAAATCCATAATTCAGTATCACTCGACTCCATCAAGGTGCTCCAGCTCCACTACCAAACACAGTGGGATGAAGCCAGGGTAACTGTATACCTGATCCGATCTTGATGAGCCCGTTGTGCTGAATGAAGATGGTGTCACAGGTCAGGTTGCCATGGATGATGGGCGGGTCACATGAGTGCAGGTAACTACATGATAGGAACAAAAACAACATTTGCAAGTAGATACAAAGCATGTAAGAAACGGTCTTGATTATTTTCCATGTATGTCCGTTTCCCTGTGAGAGAATATAATGACTTTAACATAATGTCTGAAAAAGGGAAACCAACCTGAGAGCAGACAGGATCTGTGTGCACCATCTCTTCCAAGCCTGCAGGACCATACAACTTATCAGAGGACTAACTAGGTGGTTTTCCATATGGATTAACTATGGCTTACTCGAGTGGTACACTTTTAATTTGTTTACTGGACTATTAAAAGTGTTCCTCACTCCAGAAATCTGAGCATTTATATAACCTTTACATTCAGTCAAGTTATTACCTTTTCATTCATGCTCTTGTGATTTTTCTTGGTCTTCTTCAGAAACTGTTTCAAGCTTCCTGATGACATGTATTCAGTGATGAAAATCACCTGAGGGAGAGGAAGAAATTAAGGGACACTTACATGTAAACAAAACAAGAATATTAGGATCATTTGATATCAGTTTTTTAATTATGACACTTTTCAGGCAGCTGATGGACAGAAAATTCATTGTCTTACAAGGTCTGCGACTCACCCTGGCACGGTTCTCTTTTGTGTCAGCCCAGTACTTGTGAAACTTGACGATATTTGCATGTTCCAAATGTATCAGGTTATCAAATACAGCACTTACTTTCTCCTAAAAACAAGCAAACAATATTTATAAGTATAGCACATTTATAATACAGTTATAAAATCTTTGCCTTTGTGGTGACACTTCTGTGTCTGACAAATGTATAATACAGTCTGAAGGACTATGTCAAACTCAGTAATACCAAATTTGTGTATCAGTAAGGGAGCATTTTAAAAATGTTTTCCCCAAAAAAGGTAGAAATGTTTTCCTTTGAATTAACTTGTTTTATATATTTTAAAGATGTTTATTAAAGATCAACAGCATTACACAGTTACTGCACAAACAGCCTTATAATATCTCAATATTATTTCATTAAAGTGTTCCATGATGGATTTGTATGGGAGTTGTGCAGTTAAATTTCACTGGCATTGCTTAACACCAGTTTTGCCACATTGCAGACCCTGAGTAATGTTGTTCACACCATTGTTAAGTACAATTAGTTTCTGTGAATTGTATTTTACCAACTGGTTTTATAGGTTTTGTCCTGTGTATGTGTACTGATTACAGAGCCACATAAAAATCTGTGTTCTTTTCCCTTTTTTTATATTTCAAGGTGAGGTGAAAGGCATTAGATGAATATGTTTCCTTTACTGTTGTAATGCATATTCAATTAACTGTACGAGTGAACAGTACATGACAATTGGTGTACAATCCTCAAAGCAACTGTTAGGTATTTTTTAGTCAGATAGATATTGGTTAGATACTTGTTGTATTAGATTATGATTAAGATTACAGCTAAACATACAATAGCCACTTTCTATCTAGTTATCCTGGAACATAAACAACCTTGAGTAACTCCTGGAAATGAGTAAGCATTTCACAGCCTGAGCTAGACATCCTGTCTACACTAAAGACATTTCTAATACAACAAGTATCTAACCAATATCTATCTGACTAAAAAATACCTAACACAACTATATAGATTTATACTTGCTCTGTAACACTGGGCCTCACCTCCAGCAGCTTGAAGTTCTTCCTCTCTGAGATCATGACTTCATTCCAAACAACCTCCACCCCTTCCTCTGTGTCCATAGCCAAGTATGCAGCATCGATCCCAGGGACATTTCGCTGATTCACCTACATATGAAGGGAGGAAAAAATGGCTCCTGAGATACATTTTAACAGTGAAATTAAATACAAGGCACAGAAACCCTCGACACAACAATGCAAACAACAAAAAAACTTCATAAGCATACATTTATCGCCACCCAGCTCTTTCTGTTTGAGTTGATTTTGTACTACATTTTCATCCTTTAATAATTTTTTTTTTAACTTTCCTGTCATGGTTTTCAAGATTTTTTGTTTTGTTTTTGAGTTTATAATTGTACTTACAATAATGCTACATATTATTACTTAACAGGCGGCATAGCAGAGCAGTGGTTAGCGCTGTTGCCTCACAGCAAGAAGGTTTTGGGTTCGAGCCCAGGCCAACTGGGGGTCTTCCTGTGTGGAATTTGAATGTTCTCCCTGTGCCTGTGTGGGTTCTCTCCAGGTACTCCGGCTTCCTCCCACTGTCCAAAGACATGCAGCTTAGGTTGATTGGTGGCCCTAAATTGCCTGTAGGAGTAAGTGTGGGTGTGTGTGGTTGTTTGTCTACACGTCAGCCATGTGATAGACTGGCGACCTGTCCAGGGTGGACCCCGCCTCTTGCCCAAAATTAGCTGGGATAGGCTAGAGCTCCCCATGGCCCTACTCAGGAATAAGCAGTATAGATAATGGCTGGATTATTAATTAAGACCTTCCATAAAATAAGCTACAGATACAGAAAAATACTAAAAGATTTAAGCAGCACTCCACTAAAGACCCATCTGAAACATAAGAAAAGATTCACATTATAAAATCGCTGCATCCACTAATCAGCTGAGCCTCATCACTTTGGTAAACACCCTCAATGATCAAAACTCAATTTTAAACTGTTAATGCAGATACATGTGATGTAACTTTTAATGCAATACCTCCTCTCTGCGTTTCTGCCAACGGCCACAGGGACTTTCTTCCAAGATCTCTGACTCATCTTCACTCTCATCCTCATCTTCCATTGCTGTGGTGGCAGGAGGCTGTACAGCGGTCGCAGGTGAAGACACAGATGCTCCAACTTGTACCTGAGTATTGCTGGACACATGTCCTGCTGTGTCCTCTGCTTTGTTCCCCTCTGCTTCCAACATCATGGCACAACCTTTGTGCTGGCTATGATTCTATACAATCTTCTTACCGAGCTGCAACAGGTTACAGGATGCCTGTTTCTTTATTTTTCCTGCTTTGGTCACACACCCATCCTCTCCTCTGCCCTAGATTAACAAAGTAGAGCTCAAGGAATGATGACTATAAATACATGTTTCTAAATATTATCAAACTTCAAATACATGACACAAGTTTAGCTACCTTTAATAATAAATCTTTATTCTTGTTGTACCCGGTACTTTTTACCATACTAACTCTGAGAGACGAGCCAGTCCAAGTAACTACAAAACAGTGCTGATTTATTCCATGAACACAGGCAAAAATTAACATTACACGCTCAGGCATCCTGCACCGCCAAACTGCTCGCAGGCAGCTGGAAGATGAAAAAACCCTGAACCCACCAGGCCTATACATTATATCCCCTCGGTTGGGCTAGCCCCATACTACACAGAAACGTCAACCGAGACGTCTCTGTTGCCAACTTTGCAGCTGGCCATAGCAGTAGTCAAAACATGAAGCCCTGTCTTCTGACAGTCATCAACTTTTCTCTCTAGTTATCCTTGACCAGATGTACCCTGTAGAAACTCATAAGCATGCCTAAGCATTTAACAGTCTAACTAGACATCCTATCTCCACTAAACATTTCTAATACATAAAGTATCAATATCTATCTGACTAAAAATACCTAACATTCTAAAGTCCGAATTTACCACCTAGGTTTGTTAACTGTTGAAAAAATAACTTATAACATATGCTTAATTGATGGCTTGGACTACGAAGCTGAGAAACATTACGGTTACTAGTTAATTAGCTAGTTAACTTGACTAAAACAGTCAAATTAACTAGCTAGCTAAGTTAGCAAAAAATGTTAGCTGTTAAGTGCTAATCTTCAACGTTAGCTTAGAGATGTCTCCCACTCCTTTGCTAACTTTCCTCCGGCTAACAAGCTAATAAAAGGTAAATAAACAAATGCCTAGTGTTAACACAAAGTTGCGAAGAATATCTTACCGCGACATGCAAACTACCATTGAATAAATGGCCTTCGTTTACATTGTGCTGTAAATACAGTAAAAATAGCTTTTAAACAAACATGCTACGTTAGTTCGTCATTTTAGTTTCAACTACAGAGGTTTAAAGTCCCTTTCTCTTAGCATAAGTGGGAGGGGTGGGACACCGCTCGAGAGCGCTTGTTTGCGCGCAGAAAACGCAGCTGTGCAGAGTAGGACCATCAAAGTTAGTAGAACATATAGGAGTTTCGCTGACAGATATTGCACAGAAAATAACGATAAAATTACCACATACTAGTAAGACACGATCCTTTATTTAACAAGTGTTCGAAATGCGTTGCTTAGTCTGTGGAGTCCATATAAAGTAGTGTTTTTAAACCACGTTAAATGATATATTTTTTAAAATGATTTATTTAATGTTGATTTGAAAAAACATGAAATTTTATTCAAATCTATAAATGAGATATAGACACATTTTAGTTATGGGCAAATCGATCCCTAATGGGAGTGAATTGTCTTGATGTAAGTCACCGCTTGATTATTGACGGGGCAAATGTGCTTGAAAGCAATAAATCTGTCCTTTATGCTTTTTGCGGGGTTTTGTAACACACAAAAAATGACAAAAAAAAACATTTTAACCAAAGTGCTGGTTTGTCTTTATTCGAGGAGCATAAATTATTTAATACTTTAGCTAAACTAGCTGCAGGTGTCACACTACTGCAGATTTTATCACGGCGATTTAACGGTGCTGTGTTGGGAGTGGAATTAAGCAAAAACGGAAGTTGTCAGGGAGGAACACTCTTGTCTCGCCTGTAGACGGTTTGTACAGTTGTTTTACATTGCTAAAATTCTGCGCAAGATGTTATGCCCGATTTTCATGCAAGCCAGTGATGCAAACAAGCCCGCTGGAAAATAAAGGATTTTTTGTGTGGCTGCAGTTTGGATAAAATGATCGCTGTCTCTCCTCGCCCACTATGCTGGCGCTTAACGACATCGATGCTGCCCACATAGATTGAATATAACGGATATTTTATGGAAGGGAGAGGTCGTGAAGCTGGAGAGTTGGGACATCAGCGGAGCTGAGGAGAGGAGCGTTAGCAAGCTAGCTGTCGTAACAGCAACGACTATAACGGAACAGTGACTTTCCCCGTAGAACAACTCGCTTGTCCAGTCATCATGGCTACGAATGGTAACAGCCCAACGCCCGGGATGGGAGAGATCATCCAGCTAAACGTCGGTGGGACAAGGTATGATTTGTCAACAAGACAGACGATGAGAATCGTCTGACGAATTTGAGCTGTGTGTGATGATATCTACCTGGTCAAGCAGCCTTAGTTGAAGCAGATAACGCTAAACCAGTCTTGGCTGTCATTAACGCAACTCTTCTCTTTTAATTTCTTATTCTCTCTCTCTTTTTTTTCAACCCCCCCCCCCAACAAAAAAAAAAACACACCCCCACCCCCCCTGCCTAATTTAAAGTGTACACAGTGTACAAATACATTATAACACTGGTGCGATGTAATAATCCATTTTTTCATCAGGAGAGTTGAGTCTGTTGTTCAAGCTGAATCACTCAGTGTCAGACCTCTTGGTCTACAAATGAGCCATCCACCATTCTCATGCCCATAAATTCAGTGACCCTATATTTTCTATAACACAGTGTTTGTAATGAATGTGCTGTTGTGTCTTCGTACTGTAGGTTCAGCACGTCCAGACAGACTCTGATGTGGATCCCAGACTCTTTCTTCTCAAGGTTGGTTGGATGTTGTCAGCATTTGGACTCTCTTTGAAAGCAGATCATGCATGGAATAGATCTGGACTGTTTGTGAAAGTGCCTTTTCTTCTCCATCTCTACTTTGTTGCCCAATTAAAAGGCTGCATTAATGTGAAATACTTTGGGGTTATCCAGCAGCAACACCAGATTAGATGTCCAAGGAATCAGCTGAAGAATTAGCAACTAAATGCAGTGTTACAGCTCTTAAACCCATCTAAAATAGGACTCAAAAGGAGTACATTTAACCTCTCTAGACTCCTTCTGAGGCTGGGCTAATTAAACTATACTAGTACTATTGCTAGAGCAGGTGGGACTCCTGCGAGAAACAGGCCAAAGACTGAGTGAGCATGCTGTGGTGTAGTCACAACTCACTAACACAAAATGTGCATTACATATTAATGTAATTAATGTTAAGTAGGAATGTCTTGGTTTTAAACTAGCACTGTTCTGGCAATGGAAGATATCAGGGGAAAGCAGTTACAGTCCAAAGGAGATTTCCTTTATAAATGTTGTCTGTCTTGTGCTGTTTTAGTGAGTCTTGTATCAAATCAAATTTTATTTGTATAGCGCCAAATCACAACAAAAGTCATCTCAGGACACTTTACAGAGTAAGGTCTAGACTTTACTGTTATCAATATTATTACATAGGGAAAACCCAACAAATCCCCCCTGAGCAGCACTTGGCGACAGTGGGGAGGAAAAACTCCCTTTAACGGAAGAAACCTCCGACAGACCCCGGCTCTTGGTGGGCGGCCTTCTGCCTCGACCGGTTGGGGTGAGTGGATAGAGGAGAGACAAAAGAAGAAAAGCAACAAGACACAACAATCAAACACTGATCAGGTCGATGTGGCCGGTGACTGCTCGTCAGAGATATAGAGCTCCAGGGCAACCTGCAGAAAGTTACAGGGAGAGAGAGAGAGGACACACTACGGGAGAGAGGAGACACAAAGTTAGTGATGTGTAATGGTGGCATATAGAAGCATAGGGAGAGAGAGGAGAGGAGAGGAGAGGAGAGCAGAGCAGGAGGGGAGGGGAAAGAAACTCAGAGCATCATGGGGCCCCCCAGCAGCCTTGGCCTCTAGCAGCATAACTAAGGGAAGGCTCAGCCCTAACTATAAGCTTTATCAAAAAGGAACGTCTTAAGTCTAATCTTAAAGGTAGAGAGGGTGTCCGCCTCCCGAACTGAGACTGGGAGTTGGTTCCATAGGAGAGGAGCTTGATAGCTAAAGGCTCTGCCTCCCATTCTGCTTCTGTGGACTCTAGGAACCACAAGTAAACCTTGTATCCATCCAGTATCCAATGGAGACGTTGTAACAGAGTTTTAAGATATTTTTGGGCTTGGAAACAGTCATGACAGCACATGGACATCTATATTCGTTTTGGCGTGTGTGTGTTTTTTCAGATGTTTCTAGTGAGTTATTGTGATGTGAATCCAGCCCTGAAGGGGCACACACAGTTGAAGTGCAACAGCTGATTGGGGATGGGCCAATAACACAAACATTGGACTGAGCTCAGTCTGACAACAGCTGACCAAGTAGTGCTAAATGCCTGTTAGACTGTCTGCGAGCGCACCTGTCTGACTAGCTGCCAGTCTCTCTGTCTGCAGTGTGCAGGCAATATACAGACAGTTTTCATACACAGTCTGTTGGACTGGATATGTGACTTTCAGCAAAACTGTGAAGGTTATTAGATGGTTTCTCTGCAGTTCAGACAGGTTAGCATGTTACTGTGTAAATAATGTGTGTTTACCACAAGTACTGGTGATACTGCCGGTAAGTGGAAATGGAGAAGTGCTGGTGTTAACTGGAGCACTCTGTGTGTGTGTGTGTGTGTGTGTGTGTGTGTGCACCTTGGTATTACTTACAATATGGGAACTGTTAACACACACACATTGTGGGGACTCTGGTCCCCACAAGGACTTTTAGGGTGGCAACATGGTCTAAGGTTAGGGTGAGGTTAGGTTAAGTATTAGGGTCAGGTTTAGGTGTTAGGCAAGTAGTGGTTATGGTTAAGGTTAGGATAAGTCTACAGGAAATGAATGTAAGTCAATGTAAAGTCCCCACAAGGAATGAAGACACAGTGTGTGTGTGTGTGTGTGTTTTCCAGTTTGCTGAGTGGAAGGATATCCACTCTTCGGGATGAAACTGGAGCTGTGAGTATAGCCTTTGTTGCCTTCTTTTCCATAACAGGGTCAGCATCTGCAGGCCACATCTGACTGTTCTAAAAGCTTCCAGCACAGAATTGTTCTGTTATGATGCAACTTACTGAAATGTGAAGCATGGCCCTAAGATGACGTGTGTGCACAGAAGCAGCTCAGACTGTATTAGACAAAGTCTGTGACCCACTGTCACTGTTTAATTATGTTTTTCATTGAATCACTAAGATAGTAAAATGTCAGAAAGTAGCCAAACAGCCTGCTGTGACATCTTGTTTCATGCAAAAAAATAGCTCCAGACCTAAGAGAGAAAGGCAGCAGCTGCAGCCACCAAATGTTCAGTATTTTCACCTGATATTTTACTTGAAGTAGCTGCCAGTAAATTTCAGGTCACTACTCATCTAGTCATTGTAGTACTTTTTTGTCTACCCTTAGTGTTTCTTTACAGTGCTACATATTTTTATGCCATTGACTAAATGATTTTTCAACATGTATAATACATTTAACCTTTATGTCAATAGTAGAACACCAGTAGGATAGATGAGCTTATTAAAGTGAAGATTCAAAACCTTCACCTGTTACTTTAATAAATGGTTTATGATGCCCTGGATTTACACCACAGCAAATGTTCCTCTACTTCCAGATATTTATTGACAGAGACCCTACAGCTTTTGCACCAATTTTGAATTTCCTCCGAACCAAAGAACTGGACCTACGGTAAGTTGTGATGACAACATCAGAAAATATCCCTGAATGGTTATTTAAGGAAGATGTTAGTTCTAACTAGGTTCTTACAGAATATATGTGCCACTTTTTTTTTCTCTGTAGGGGTGTAAACATCAGCATCCTGCGACATGAAGCAGAGTTTTATGGGATCACTCCTTTAGGTATGTTGCAGTATGGAGTTGTAGGAGAAAATCTAAACACAAATACTGATGCTTAGAGACATTAAGGAAACCTCTGGGCATAATAACCACAAGCCTGTTTTGCATACACTACATTTTTGTAACAGAAAAAGCTCAGCAGTTGCATACATGCTGAGCATGTGCATTTTTGAGGGGGCACTCTACATGGTTATAGTACAATTAAACCACTGCTGATAAAGGAAATGTTTTCTTGTAATGTCAGATGTGTTTTGACTTCAGATATGGACTTGTCCAAGGTCAATCTTAATGCTATTGGTTGCATGTACTCTAATGTTGCTTTACTTCCTGTTTCCTAGTATTCTTAGTATTTGTTACTTCCCTGTATTGTCTGTGTAATAGAATGGAAAGGTTATTGATCACCTACTTAAAATCATTACAAGTACACTGGCACATACTGTACAATACAATATGAAAACAATAATACATAAACTACAAAAAATACTGCAGAGGTGTAACCTAGTCAAGCATGAGGAATACTTCAGGCTTTGTCCAAATGTTTAAAGAAAATACAAAATGAAGAAAGAAATAAGAATATGAAGTTTAACTTATTGTTAAAGTTTATATTGTTTATTAAATCATTTAACCACAGCATACTATAAAACCATCATTTCTAAATATAATCATTATTTTCCTTTTGTTTGTTTTTTGTTTAAGAGCAGCGAAACAAGTAGTCACTTGATTAAAATATCTTTTATGTTGTCCTGGTCATCATGGATTCCTGGTTATATCTGTTCCTGTGTGTGTATGCAGTGCGTCGCCTGCTGCTGTGTGAGGAGCTTGATCGCTCATCGTGTGGTAGCGTGCTCTTCCATGGCTACCTGCCGCCCCCAGGTAAACACATGACACTGACTGATACAGAAAATGAACCAAAAGAAGTAGACATGTTAGAATATTCTACTGATATTTGACAAAATAGTCCCAGGACAGAACTGATCTGGCTATAAGACCCAGAGTGGTATAAAAACACAAATGAGCAAAAATATCTGCAAATCATTCACAGCCATCCCTGCACACAAGTTCAGCCCTGCGTCAGCAGCCTCCAGCTCCTCCTCTGATGAGCGTCCGGGTCCAAGTGGGGCAGAGGGCTTCACCTGTGCTGGTCCCCCACCTCACCCCTCCCTCTCTGGCTCACCTGGAACAGACGACACCCATAAGCTGGGTGAGTAACCTGTGGTAGGTTTATGAAGTGTGTCTGAATTAAAGATTAATAACGGTCAATCTGTAGATTATACATACACTTACAGCTGTTGCGAGCAAGTGCCAGAAATCCATCTCAGTAAATGTTTCATCTCAGCGTAAAAAACAGCTAATGCTGCAGTGAGTAGCAAAGAGGAGCTACTCTGAAAGGCTGAAAAATCAGTGTCGGGCCATTGAGCCGTCGTCAGTGTGGAGGAGCCTATGGAACATCACTGGGTACAGGAGACCCCCCCAGCCCCCGTACACCTCATGGGTCAAAAAGAGGACAGAGAGGATTTCTGCGGACCACTTACATCCTGGACACAAACTCTTTGAACTCCTCCCCTCTGGACACAGGTCACTGTGCGCCAAGACAAGCAGACACAGAGACCATTTCTTCCCCCGGGCCATTACACTCTTGAACAGCTAGTCTATGTTTGCTCTTTTAACTTCTGCTTTTATTTTGACAATGGCTTCAGTAGGCCTATGGGCCTACAGCCTGCTACACTGTCTGCCTCCTGCCTGTAGGCGAGGCGACGGTGGTGCGGTGGGTAGAGCAATTGTCTCCCAACCAGAAGGTTGAAGGTTTGAATCTCTGTGCCTGCCGTCCACATGTTGAAGTGTCCTTGGGCAAGACATGAACCCCCCATTGCCCATGACAGTGGCACATATGCACGTAGCGGCCCGGGGCCCTCGGCTCCAAACATAATTTCATTGTATGTGTCACAATGACAATAAATAAATCTTCTTCTAGATGTAATGTTTATGTTTGTGCACCTCTGTGTGCCTTTCTGTGAGTGCACACAGAATGTAATGTTGCAGCTGATGTGACCTGACACATCCTTTTAGTGCGGTGACTCAGCACCGACTGAGGCAGCCTAGATTCACGTCGGCCCACGTTCTGCTGATGATGGCAGAGAACACAGAGCGACAACAAACACCATATGCCTGCTTCTAGACAAATGTTTCGGTGATTCAGATAATGGCAAATGATGAATAATAAGGTGAAACTATAATGCAATTATCACTATGAAAGAAGTGTATTTATTTTGTCTTGTGTAGGTCCTGTGGTTGACCCCAGGAAGGTGCTGATTATAACAGGGCATCACAACTGGATTGTAGCAGCTTATGCACACTTTGTCATCTGCTACAGGTAAAAACTGCCACAATATGGTTTGTTAAAGACACTTCTCATCCACTGTGCAGTCCATAAGGGGGAGACATTAAATTATTTATGAAGATAAGATGTAGTATCATAATGAGTCTCACATTTGTCACTAACTACTGTTGTATCTGTGCTAGTGTATGGAGTCAGAGCAATGCAATGAAAAATGTAACTTGGAATTGAAAACAAAATGTAACTGATAAAAACATTGGTGCTGAAAACCAAAACAAAGCAAATGTATATATATATATCTGTGTGTTGAAAAAAGTATTAATACTGAAAAAAAGCTGCACTAAAAATAAATCTAATGTCATTTTCATGTTATTTTAATCTTGATGTGTTTTTCAGTATCAATTTTCTTTTTTTCAGTTTTAGTTTACGGTCACTCTTTTGGTGTGGAATTAACGTAGGGGGCATAACTTGAGGTGGTCTGCATGCAAACTGAGAAGAAAATGTTATTTCTTTCATGACTAAGGAGACATACAGTATCAGACTTTTTACAGCCTAGATTACACACTGAAAATCTCTGGCCATTACCGAGACATCTCTGGCCATTACCGACCTAATGGAGGACATAACAAGTGCTATGGATGAGAGGAAATACACGATGGGAATATTTATTGACCTAAAAAAAAGCATTTGACACAATCCATCATGAGTTATTAATGGATAAGTTAGAAAAATATGGGACCAGGGGATTGGTTTTGAATTGGATTAGAAGTTATTTGACACAGAGGCGTCAATTTGTGAAGTTGGGTGAATACCAATCGAGTGAGCTGGATATTGTATGTGGAGTGCCTCAGGGTTCTGTTTTGGGACCTAAATTATTTATATTATACATTAATGATATATGCAAGGTTTCTGATTTAGTGAAAGTGGTTTTGTTTGCTGATGACACTACCATATGGGCATCGGGTGAAAACCTACAGCAACTCTCTGGACGGGTTACACAGGAACTTGAGAAGATAAAGAAATTGTGTGACAGTAATATACAGTGGTGTGAAAAAGTGTTTGCCCCCTTACTGATTTCTTATCTTTTTGCATGTTTGTCACACTGTAATGTTTCAGATCGTCAAACAAAT